CTCTCAGGTCCGCGGTGCCCAGGCCGGAGTGATAGGAAGGTGCACACTCAGTGTGCACTTCCTATCAGTCCGGACAGGTACAGGAAACAGAAACTCCGCGCGGAACAGGTGTTTCAGTTTCCTGTACCCGGCCGGACTGACAGGAAGTGCACACTGAGTGTGCACCTTCCTATCACTCCGGCCGGGCACCGCAGACCGGAGAGGAGCTCAGCCACGCTACAGGGGAGGGGAGGTGAGGGGAGGGGAGGAGAGAAGCAACTGCAGCCGCCTGAGGCTCTTAACAGAGCGCTCAGGCGGCTGCAGCATTTAAAGGGCCGGCCCTGCAGCGGCCGGTCTTAAAAGAATTTAGGGTGGCCTGGGGGGCAATTGCCTCCCTGCCCCCCGGCCCAGCCCGCCACTGACACCAAGGAACAAAGTTGTCAGAGTAGGGCGACCTGGTACTTTCATTTACCCCCCATGAAGCATTTTTTACTTACATTCCACTTTACTTACATTCCACTCTATAAGAGAGTATTTACGTTTTAAGGGTGTTTTTTTGTGTGTGTGTTAACCTGTGCCTGGTGGCAATGAGTAAGCACCTGTTTGTACACAACATGTAAAACTGATGTCTTCAGTCTGTTTTCCTTGGCATTATTGCTTATATATGCATAAAGCCGGTTTGGTGCAAGACCTTAAAACATGTTTACTCTCGTTATACTTACATTATATGTGTATTATGTTTGCAATAGCACTATATAACAGCACTAAATAAAGCAAAATGATGTACAAATAATACATAAAAATGCTACCACTGTATATATTGCTAACTTTAAAATAGTAGAGATGATGCAGATTCATCATCTGAATATAATCCATATATGTTCTGCATTTTGGGGGCACCTGCAGCTCCACATTGACCCTGAGGTCCAAATATCCACCCGACCATAGCAAGTAAAGTGTTCAGATGCATACATACAAGGAGGAAGGCTTAAGATCTGTGTCAGAGGCACCAACTAGTCCACTGTCTTGTTTAACCCAGAAGAAACCAAAGCCTTTGCTACTCCCCAGGCAACGGTTACCTCTCCTACAAACTGAGGCCATTCCCACAATTACCATAGAAGGTGGAGAGGACATTGCTGCAGCTTGGAGCATCTACGCCACTCTCTACATCATCATTAATTTCAATATGCTGGGACAAATCCAGGCAGCTGTACTGACTGTTGTTGGTTTGCATTGTGTCTTTGTCTGTCTCTCTACCTGGGGGCAGGCTTGTGGATATCCCCAACTGCATAGTATAGGCCCTTGGCTGTGGTTCCCCTCTTTCGATAACTGTATTCCTTGAGTTCAGGCCTTTCAAACTAAAAATTGGTTTAGTGATCTAGTATACTCAGTGAGATTGCTCCCATATCACATACATTATTTTCTTTTATGCATTTGCTCATTAACAAATATTAATTGTGCATATTTTTTCTTTTTCTGCTATTAAGCAGGCTCGAGAATGAATCAGTATAGTACTATTAAACTGTTAACTCTTAAAAACCAGTTCAAATAGCACACTGACCGTAGTCCACTCTTTCAAATACTTGGGTATGTTGTTAGACCCCAATCTATCTTTTGGCCTGCACATAGAAAAGCTTGCATCTAAACTTTATCCAAAACTAGGTGCCAAGTACAGAAACAATTCCTGCCTAAGCCCTACAATAAAGGAAAAGATTGTATAGCAAATGCTGATGCCAAATCATTGATTATGGGGATGTGGTATATGCACCTGCACCGCAATCCCACATTAATAAACTCAATACATTGTATAACTCGTTCTGCCGATTTGTGCTACAATGTAATTACAGGACCCACCATTGTGAAATGCTAAAAGAACTAAACTGGCTGTCGCTGGAATCCAGACGCACCCTTCATCATTCCAGCCTTGTGTTTAAGAGCTTTTCTGGGAAACTCCCACCCTACCTGAGCAGAATGCTCTCCTAAGCTTTTCCCACCTCCTATAACATCCGATACAGTACCAGCACTTTATTTAGTGTACCTCAATACAAAAAGAAAGCAGCCCGATCCTCCTTTTCCTACAGAGCGCCGCAATCATGGAACAACCTCCCGCACACTCTCAAATCTTCCCCAAGCCTAAAGTCCTTTAAGAGATGCCTCTCTACATACCTCAAAACAGAATGCACCTGTCATGGTTAATTATATATTTCCTACCTGTTCTATGTTAAATTTTTTATATATTGTGTACTAATATTGTTTTTGTATTTTATTGTACCCTATTGTATCAATGCAATGTTTTGTGGACCCGGGACATAAATGAAAACGAGAGAAATCTCAATGTATCTTTCCTGGTAAAATATTTTATAAATAAAATATTCAATACGTATATATATTTTGTCTTACACCCTGTTATTGCGATGACATAGCTTGCTTGACGTTTGTTCGCACTGTTGTGGTGAGCAAATATACCTTTAAAACAAGAGTTGTTAAGCATTTATTATGTACATGCTGTGTTTGTTTGCAAATACCTCAATAAAACAAAGATTGACAACAACAAAAAACATATTCACAAATGTACAATTAGAGCAAGAAAAAGTGACTGTTATAAGCTTATCAGTCATCGAATTGTCTGGGACTGAAATATCCAAAGAACTTTCATATTACCTTATGAATGATTTTGACTCATTTAGTTTCTCTATGGAGAGTTTTACTAGGAATATTTGTTTAAAAATATTGTTTGTCCCTGTTGAAATGAATAACACCGATGATTTCAATAATTTGACTATAGGCGATATTATACTTTTTGCTGCTAATTATTTAGGCTTGTGCAACAAACGTAAATATGAGATTGAAACGCTTGCAGGCTTGGTTACATGGGATTTACCATGACCACCACTGCAGAAAAAGATGCCTTTAAAACCTTAAAACATAGTAATCTTCATAAAGCCTGCTGACCAAGGTGGGTCATGAGATCACTGAATTAGAGTCACTTACTAAAAATGTTAATTTAAAAAGAAGTTCGAATTTCAGGTCAAAGGTAAAATTCTCCAAATCTACTATGCTTCCATTTCAGCTATTTTGCTTTTACATTTGAACTTCACTTTGCATTCTCGGTTTAGTAAATGATCCTACCAGTGAGAATTCGAAGACAGTTTAAATTAAGACTAGAGTAGATGAACTGAAAGCATAGCATACTTAAAGATATTTTTCCCAATTCGGCCAAGTTGACCTTAAAATTTAAATTCACTTTGAATGCTCACTTTAGATAATAACCCTGGGTAAATTATTCTAATACTCTACCAGATTTGTTATAGAGATCCAATTCTAAGTTCTCTTAAAAAAGATTGAAAATCCACTTAAAGGAACACTATACTTTCTTCCAGATTATTATATTTCAGATGTATTTTATATATATTAATATACTGTATATCACCAAACATCATTTCAATTATTTAATAATTAGTAATATTTACATTTAAAATAAGTATTTACCTTGTTTTCTGACGCTTGGAATCCAACCAATCAGAGTGTTCCGAGTCATTTTACTCAGAGCACTCTGATTGGTTGGATTCCAAGCCAACCAATAAGAGTGCTCTGATAGGTGAACAGTGAGCCTTACAGGTACCCAATCAGGTAAGGCTCACTATTTATCTATCAGAGCACTCTTATTGGTTGGCTTAAACCAACCAATCAGAGCGCTCTGAGTCAAATTGCAGGGTGTGGGAAAGATTTATAACCATTTACCCACCCTCAGTCTGCATGATGCCCTCACTGGGTGAAGATGGTGAATTTTTTAGTGTTGGGATTATTTTTTCCGGCGTCTTTTTTTTTTTGCGCTCTGGTTATTTTTTTTATTTTAGAAGTTCAACATAAATTATGGATTTTTATTTGGCCTTTTTGGGGGCTGAAAAAAATAAGACATCTAATGGTAAGTATAAGTTTTGTTTTTTTACATGTAGATTTACTACTTCCTCCCTCACAATATTTAGGTTGAGGGGGGTAGGTAGTAATTTATTTAAAGGGAGGGGGGCAACGAAGGGGCCTGGGGACCCCTAGACACCTTGTGGGGGCTTGGGGGTTTTCACGTAGCCCCCACCCGTCACTCTTGGGTGGGGCCGGGGGGAATCAATAGGTTCCCACCATTGTAATTTTGGGCCCCCACCCGCCACACATAGGTGGGGGCTGGGGAGGGGGCAATAGATGCCCCCATATCATCTTGGGCCCCCACATACCGCTCAAGGGTGAGGTCAATAGGTCCCCCCTATTTTCACCCGCCGCTCATTGTCTCGGGTGGACACTATGTCCCCCTGCTAATTAATCGATGGGTGGGGGGCTAGTTAGTAGATGGGGGTTCACCGCAGTGCTCACTGTTTACTAGATATGCCCTTACTCGTGGCATAGCGAGTAGGGGCATGCGGGAGATTTTAATCTCCCTTATGCTAATATAGGGGTCATATTGACCCCCATAGAGTGAGGGAGGACATGTGGAGGGTTAGGAAGTGGCGGGGAGCATATTACATATTACATATTATGAAAGCCGAACGAGCAAACGAACACCAACATTCGGTCTTTGTTTGTTTGTGTGAAATTTCTATTCGTTCATTCGTCTTTCTGATGAATGAATAGACGAATTTCTGATATCGCGGGAGCGTGCATTAGGCGGCAAAATGATACCCAACGACAGTTATGCGTGCTGACGTCAGAGTATGATTGGGTACAAGAGCAGGGAAGTTACATTCCTGGCTCTCATAATCGACTGGTTTGGGGACATGGCTTAAAGCTGCTCTTCAAAGCCTTCATAAAGAATAAAAAAAAAATTTTTTTAAATAAGAGGATGAAAATATTTAAGGCACTCTAACAACCACTTAAATGACATTAAGTTGTTACAGTGCCTACAGTGTTCCTTTAATGAAGTTTTTTCTAAAACATCTAAAAATACATCTTACAAAAACTTACTCAGTTATGCTCGCATTTAACTTCTAAAAATCCATAAAAATCTTGTAGCTCTCCCAGGAAGCCTTACGGTGGCTAGTAGTAATTCTGCATTGCATCAGTCTTTCTGGACAGGGTATTGCAGTCTCTTGTAGTCCTCGTGTCCTGATCCTTCATTTTAGACAATACTGTTGTACTGTTGAGAAATGAGAAGCTACTTATTTTTGACATCGTAAATTTATCCGTTCATTCCTCCTCAAGTATTCTGCTGGCCGGCCATTATACATACCGACGGAGAGTCACTATACTAATAAACAAGTTGACTTTTTGTTATTTATTTCAGAATTAATAGTGTAAAAAAAAAAAAATTATATTTGGTGATTACATCTGCTGTGAGCATACTGAAATGAAGAGAATACCACTTGTTACAGAATTCAATAATTATGCCTTTTCACAGATTTTTATAAACATTGGAATATTCTAGAATCTCACTTAAAAACATATATATCTTCAAAGAACTCAGAGACTGTAAAAAATCCCCAAGTAAAAGTTAACCTCATTCCTTTCCCAGTGATGTCACGATTAAATACTTAATTGTGTCAGGTAGTTATGATCAATTATTGCCTATTTAAACCGTGAGCCTTGTGTAATGGCATTGGCTCGACTATTGAGTCCCCTTGCTTGTCTTGCCATGTGTAACCTTGTTTCTTTATTGGCTCAGTTTCTGTAACTCCAAAGTTATCCCACCAAAATGATGTACAAAGGTTGCATCAATCTGACAGGTATTGTAACATCCGGATCGTTCATGCTACTCTAGTCCACCCCGCATGACCTCCCATACAGAAATGACCTTGTAGGTCACCTAGCAGTTCTAACTAAACAGTTATTTATCTACCAAGCCAATCCAACGTATTGTAAGTAGATTCTACAGTACGGTGCTTCTTCCAATACTTATTCAGGAGGTCATTTACTGTATGTAGAATATAAATACATTGCCTTTGTTTCTGCTATTCTTTAACAAAGTTATTGCAAACAAAGACAACTCTATTGTTTTAGAGCGGAAGTGTCACAGTCTATACCAAGAGTGGAAAGTAAAGTTATTTATTTTACTTCTTAAACTATTGTATCCTCCAGCTATTACACCATCACTACCAGAAATCTTGACAAAATAATCGAGCCACAGCAATGCAAAAATGGAGATAAGCTCAGTAAAGTAGGCAATGGAAAATATCTCACTCAGAATGGATAATTTAGCACAGACTGTGCATTTAAAACAGCAGGATCTTCAAAATCAAGTCCAGTCGCTAAAAACCTTAATGCCAGCAATTGCTAATTACCCAGAACCACCTTCTATTTATTTACCCAATAAATACAGGGATGCTGACCCCAGTTCAGAACCGTAATTAGTGAATGTTAACTGTTGTTTAATCTCAAGCAAAAGAACTTACTATAACTTATTTTAATGACTCTGCAAGGGCATAACTAGAAACCTCAGGGCCACCCTCTATAGAGCAAAGGTGGCTACTAGGATCCTCAGCTGCTGTGCAAATCCTATGATGCTTTGCCAGCTGTGGATCTGCTATTTACCCATCCTAGCAGTGTTCTATCTGTAGGCAGTATCTGTGAATGTATGCGTGTTTTTGCATGGAGTATATTTGTGCGAATGTTTGTTTATTTGTATATAATGCTGATGTTTGAATAAGTCTGTTTGTGCTGTTTTGTCATTTAAATGCAGGGGTGTGTGTAGTGTTGGTGTTTAAATTGCAAGTTTTTATTTTTTATGTAGTGTTAGTGTATGAATGCAGTGTTTGTGATGTTGGCATGTAAATGTAGGGCTGTGTTTGTATTGTCGTTTGAATGCAGAACTATTTTTGTGTACAATGTTGGCATTTTAATGTAGGGGTGTGTTTGTGTTTAATATTGGATGATGGAATGCAAATGTGTTTTCACAAATACATATACACTGTCCCAAACACATACAAGAGCAACTACAGATGCCCACAGACACATATATACACAGATTTACTCTGAGAGATATACACACAGATTGATACACATACACTGTTAGATTGAGACATACTGACATGCATGCACAGATTCTCCCACAGATCCTGAAACAATGACACACATACCGATACCAATACATACAGAAATACTGACACACATGCAGAGCTGCATATAATGACACACATGCACTGATACGTACATTGACACACACACAAACACTGACACACATACACAGATACAAACACTGACATACATGCACAGATACAAACACTGACACACATGTACAGACATACTGACACTGTCTACAAATCTCATTACACATGGCCATGATAGGTACCAAATTCGTCAGCTGAGTTGCATACACAGCTATGACCAATATACAGCCTCAAAGACTAATTTATAAAATTTGGAATTATGGCCAGCCACAGCAACATTAAACTGGCTGAAGTAGTGGATTACAAGGCTGCAGAGATAAACAACCTGGGAGAGAGACATTGGAATGGATAATAGCACCACAACCACTGTAATACAGCTACTATATACCAGTGCAAGAACAAGGATGCTGTAAAACATCTTGCCAGTACAACAACCAATCAAGAGACTGACATAGGTATATCATCAAAAGATGTTCTGTAACTGTCTTATTCATATTTATATATATATATATATATATATATATATATATATATACACACATACACATATACAATCAATTACTATGGTGTCCCTAAGAAAAGAAAAAACAAACAATTGGTACAACAGACATATATATATTGGAAGGCATGGCCTGAAGTTGTGGGAGGGGCTATAGACCTATAAAAGGGACTCCCCCCTCTCCCTACTTACCTTTGTTGGTCAGACGAATAGACTGTTCAAGGTCAGCATTTGCATGAGATCCACTTCCAGGTCATACAAGACACCATTTTGGTTTCACCTTTGCTCCATGAGGTCTCCTACTCCAAGCTGTGTCCAGGAATCCTGCAGCAGGGATTTCCATTAATCCAGTGGCTTTCTCTCCGGTCAGCATCGCATTTGGTGTCTCAGGGACTCTCAAACCGTAAGTTGACCCACCTGTCGCGCCAGGATTAGTTCCCACGGCGTTCAACACAGCACGGGTCCTCACTTTACGGTTTCCTTTCGTTTTGCACGGTTATTTCGTTACCTTATACTCACCTAGCTGTTTATGTAAAATCTGTTGGTTAAAATCTGTTTTGGTTAAAAATCTGTTGGGTTAAAACTACAAACGACATACAATTTTTCGCCTACACACTGACCCCTATCGGTCATTCAATGTAGTACAGGCTTATCAGATATTATTGCATTTCATGTACAAACCACTGCATTTGGGCCTACACACTGACCCCTATCGGTCATCGGTGTACTACAGGTTTCTTAGACGTTTTTGCATTTCATGTACAAACCACTGCATTTTCACTGCATTTTCACCAAGACACTGACCCCTACCGGTCATTCTGTGTACTACAGGCATCTCAGACATTATTGCATTTCATGTACGAACCACTGCATTTGTGCCTACACACTGACCCCTATCGGTCATCGGTATACTACAGGTTCTTAGACGTTTTTGCATTTCATGTACAAACCACTGCATTTTCAACAAGACACTGACCCCTACCAGTCATTCGGTGTACTACAGGCTTCTTAGACATTATTGCATTTCATGTACAAACCAACGAACCACTGCATTTTCATCTAGACACTGACCCCTACCGGTCATTCGGTGTACTACAGGCATCTCAGACATTATTGCATTTCATCTACAAACCAACGAACCACTGCATTTGTGCCTACACACTGACCCCTATCGGTCATTCGGTGTACTACAGGCTTCTCAGATATTATTGCATTTCATGTACAAACCAACGAACCACTGCATTTTCACCTAGACACTGACCCCTATCGGTCATTCGGTGTATTATAGGCTTCTTAGACGTTTTTGCATTTCATGTACAAACCAATTAACCACTGCATTTTAACCTACACACTGACCCCTACCAGTCATTCAGTGTACTACAGGCTTCTCAGATATTATTGCATTTCATGTACAAACCAACAAACCACTGCATTTTCACCTAGACACTGACCCCTACCAGTCATTCAGTGTACTACAGGCTTCTCAGATATTATTGCATTTCATGTACAAACCAACAAACCACTGCATTTTCACCTAGACACTGACCCCTATCGGTCATTCGGTGTACTATAGGCTTCTTAGAAGTTTTTGCATTTCATGTACAAACCACTGCATTTTCACCAAGACACTGACCCCTACCAGTCATTTGGTGTAACTACAGGCATCTCAGACATTATTGCATTTCATGTACAAACCAACGAACCACTGCATTTGCGCCTACACACTGACCCCTACCGGTCATTCGGTGTACTACAGGCTTCTCAGACATTATTGCATTTCATGTACAAACCAACGAACCACGGCATTTTCGCCTACATGCTGACCCTTACCGGTCATTCAGTGTACTACAGGCTTCTCAGACTTTATTTCACTTCATAAGCAAACAAACTAACTACAGCATTTTCACTTTTATACTGACTCCTATCTGTCAAACGGTATACTACAGGCTTTTCAGACATATGGTTATTCCCCTCATAACATTCCCACTATAATTATAATTACACAATAACACTTCCTTATAAATCATGCTTACTATGATATAATCATTCCTGCATACCTGCCTTCATAGGCATTTAGTTACATTTACTGACAATACGCATACATTTACCCAAGAATGCACATACTATTTAAAGCACTATGCAGTTTTCCAGAGTCTAATACGGAATATTTGCACGCTTAAAATATAAGTCCTTCCAATTATGTATTTTCACTTATTAGGTTATTCAGCTGCCAGTCATGGTTCACTACACTCATGTTTCGGGGTACAGTTGTGTTCCATATCACACATGATATAACACTCCCGACAAGTTAATTTCCTTCAAACAGGGGCATTACAAGCATACAATAAACATTGGGACAGAGCACTTTGCTCTATTAAACTTGCATAACACACATATGGATATACGCTTTTAAATGTCTATAAAAGCGATTTTCATACATTGTTTTACCCGTCTGGGATACAGGTATTAATAACCTTTACGACCAGTAAGGGTATCTAATCATACTACCAGGTACATACACCTGCTCATGTGGTATATACATACATTTTCTGTTTCCCCCTGGGTATATCCTTAGCGTACTGGCAATTAGGGACTATAGGTTTCCAATAGATATTTTCCTTTCTTGGCATCTACGCCTGTCGTATAGTGGTCCCGCGAGGCCAACACCCCGCCTCAACGCTCGGAGGCAAACACCCATCGGGCCACTCGTGAGCTAGCCGCCTCGCATGGTATATAGAGAGGGCCTCACCTGTCACTCCCTTCCCCTTTTTTATGGTTACAGTCACCGAGAGGCCAACATCCTGCCACTACGTTTGGTGGCCACAAAAATCCCCTCGCGCCATTGCATAGATAGAGCCTCTCAAGCCACTTGGCAACTAGCAGGGCCTCACCTGTCACCAAACAAATGATTAATTGTTTCGCCTTGCGGCTTTAGCTAGCAAGCCAGTACTAGCACACTGTGGGTTCATATAATAATGGCTATCTTCATGATTTTTAGTATGTATCAAGCACGTGGTAAGGATTTCTCTCTACCTAACACTCCAGCTAGAGTCAACACACTTTCACTTGGAGATGTTGCTAGTCCCACAGGACAATTTTGTCCCAACACAGCGGACGATAACGTTTCAGGCTCCAGGCTCTAGCACCTCTGGTAGGAATGTAGCGAACTACCAGAGACAAATTGGGTCGTCTCATTCTCTTTGGCAAATCCCAGATTTGCAACAATTTCCATGTTGGCACATGTAGTTTCAGTGCATGCAGACTGTTGCAGATATGTTCCCAATATGTCAGGGCACATGCAAAACCATGTGTCCCAATAAATGTACCCTGAACCTTACTTCTCGTCTGTAAACATTATGCATTTCTAGTACTTTCTAACTTATCACCCTTCCAGACATTTAGTTTATTTCCTAATCTCCGATTTTAAAGGCCTTCTGTTCAGGTATTGCCATATACTTTTGGGGGAATCTAGAATGCCCTAACTTGCAGTCATCACAGCAGCATCCAACAGCTGGCATTACACTCATGGCCCAAGAAATGGCAGAAAGATTTCTACCTGGGCCTCTCCGATCTACACCATTTACAGTGTGGCGCAATCCCATTGGGACTGTCACGGAATCTTCCCTCACACTGTAACTGATCATAGACTTATCTGCACCTCACGCCTCGGCTACCCCATAATCTCAACTCCCTCATACCCTCCGAGGAGTTTTCATTACAGTATGCCACCATTGTTCATACCATGACAACTATCACTCAAGCAGGGAGGGGAAGCCTGGTTAAGTAAAACTGATATCACAAACGCATTTCAGACTGCCACCATCCACCCTGCACTGGCACTTACAGGGCATTTATGGGCAGCAGTTATATATTTCTTCTCCCGCTTAACTTTCGGGTCAAGAGCAGCCCACAATCTTCAATATATTCGTTGAACTCTTTACTGGTTGTGGTTAAACATATCCAGATGCCCCACAGTCATACACTCCCGAGATGATTTCTTGTTGGTCAAAGGGAATGCCTTTCCCTCTAGAAGCTTCAAGGAAGCCATTAGTATGTCTGAACACTTGGGTGTCCCAGTATTCCCTAAGGTCACAGAAGACCCAGACACTATCGTTACATTCCTGGGCATACAACTTGACTCGGCATCCATACCAACAAGTTACCACGCGAGAAATAGGAACAGTCGCAACAACACCAATTACCACCTCCTGCTTGGTACTTGCAACCACATGGAACTACAATCCCTACCAGGTTCCTTAAATTTTGCCATGCACATCGTACCGCAGGCCACGCTTTCATCTCAGACCAGTTTGCTTTTTCCTCCCTCCCGAATGATGATCAGGGGCTGTCCCTAGACAACCAAGCCATGTCAGACCTACACATATGGTGGACTTTCTTAACCACACGTAATGGTAAATTATTGTGGCAGCTGCCGTGACAGCCGCCATGGCAGGGGGTCATTTATGGTCAAGATCATGGATTACATGAACCTCGCCCAACATAGCCGGGCTCTGACTAAACTGGCCTTGTCCACCAGCACTCAACACGCTTGCTACAGGGTTTTCCACTTATACAATACGTTTCATGTCAGACCATCACTTAGATAGCTGGTTTGAGGTTTCACCACGTATGTCCTTTGCCTTTTTTTTGCCACCTTAAGTTAATAATTCTCGCACAACACGGTTAAACTTTATCTCACGGGCATTCAACACTATACGTATTTCTCCATCCCAAACAACAAGGCTTCCTATCCTCCTACCCCATACATACCTTACTTAGAGACATGGCCAAGCGGACGTTCCCGCTAAAACTAAATACTGGCCATAGACATACAATGTTCAAACCATGACAGAACCACTCGACCATGCACTTCCGAGCCACGCACCAATGCAGTTATCAAAACTGCTACCTATCTAGCCTTTAACGGCTTTCTCAGGCCAAAACAATAACTCACTATCAGCGGCCAACATCATAAACAAGAGTGCCGGGTGACCTCTTATCTTCTAAAACACACAGACCACTATGTCCGGTCCCTTCCTAAAACTAAGATGAGTCAGAGGGGCGAGCCAGTGCATATAACCTACTACCTTACAAGCAATGCTGGGTGCCCGGTTAAGGTACTGATTAAGTTCTTGGGCACGCCACCATACGCACCACTGAACCATTACTGTCGCTGTACAATACTGTCCTTACCACAGGTAAGTTCATGCACTATGTCCACCTACTCATTCATCGTGCTCGAACTAAACCCTAGCGACTACTCAGGGCACTCCTTTTGGATAGGAGCAGCTTACACAGCCCATAGCCAAGATATCCCGCACACGTTAAGACACGGGGCCGCTGGGAATCATAGGCTTATGCGATGTACATACCACAGCCGATTCAGGAATTAGGACGCTTTCATTAAAATGTCTAATTGATGGTTAACAAATGCACTATGATCCTGTATAATGTTTTGCATTAATATGTCTCTTTTTGCCCACTTTTTACCGGCTTACAGCATACGTCGGTTTCGGCACACCTCAACCGATTATTCCTAAAGCTACATCTCTACAACCCATTGTAAGAATATTAAATAGTTAACTTGTTTATATGTATTTTATGCTTTCATAAGGTTTATAACATGATTATTGCTGACTGAAGGGATATTGAATACTTACATAATATGCTGACTGTGACAGACTAAGGTATTTCTTCTATAGGATGTAAGACAATGCTAAATTTCAGGATGTCTTGCCCATTCCGATTTTAAGGATATTCTTTTCCAGACGTATGCAAAAGCTTATCTTTCCATTGTCAGAATAACGTAATATAAGGAAGTAATAAATCTTATAGTCTGTACTGTATTTGCATATACCATGGCTAATGTAAGCAAACTATGTATAAAAGCCAGCTCTGGAATACACTCATTTGAGAGTCTTGTAAAGCTGTTGTCCGTGTGTTATTGCTTACAAATGATTCTCCATCAACGTTGATTATGGTGACCGAGGGATCGAGAACCGAGGGGATTAGAGTCCATTACAACATTAACCCTTTCAGCTTGGTGTCTAGAAGTGGGATAGAAGTTGGATCAGCAAAACCATTTGCGGTGAGTAGCCTTTTTGTGTCTTATTTGACGCTGATTGTCTATGACCCCCTTTGGTTCAGTAAGACTGTATCCAGTAGATAGGAAAGGTGTAAGGACTCTAGTTATATTGAGACTATAAGAGGTCTCCGGTTTATTAGACATTTGGTCTAAATATATATAGGGGTTCTTGGTAACCCAGGTTAGTATCTAAGATAGATACAGGTTTTTGAGACCATAAGAGGTCTCCGGTTTATTATAGGGTTTTGGTAACCCAGGTTAGTATCTAAGATAGATACAGGGTATCTCAGGTAGATACAGGTTTTTGAGACCATAAGAGTCTCCGGTTTATTAAGTCTATAGGTGTTCTGAGTAGCACGGTTTGTAGATCTATAAGTATAACCCAAACTTCTCTTTCTCCCGGTCACCTTTGTTTGTCTTAAGTGTTTTTTGTGGGTGATTGATTGTCTATATTGGGGACACACTTTGGTAAGTTAGTAGTGTCCCCACTCTGAATCAGCAGTATGGGAAATGTGAGTTCATGTCCTGAGTGACCAATATATGTACATGTATATATGTGTGTGTATATGTATATATGTGTGTGTATATGTATATGTGTATATATAAGATAGCAGTACTTTTAAACAAATGGAGGTTTTAAAAATACATAGGGATTAAGGAGAGAACGCAGGTAACTTGTTTTTCTTTGGTTTTTACCATATATTGGGGCTGATGTGTACTGTAGTCCTTGCTGCTGTCCAGTAGTGATGGGAGTGAGCGCAGGACTTATCTTTCTGCAAGATAGCAGTACTGTATATTAGAAAAGAAATGACTCATAGGTTGTACCTGATAGACCTACTTAAATCTTTTTACTTTATTCTTTCTGTCGCATAGAAGTATAAGTTTATTACTCTGTTTTATTGTAAGTTATTTCACATGGGAACTGTGTGCCTGGAATGATTGTTGCTTTAAAAATACTATAAGCCCACTACACTTATTATGAGAGTGGGATAGTGTAAATGTGTTGCATTGTTTGCATGATGAGCTCAGTATATTTTATAACTGAGACAAAAAGTCACTTCATTAGTATTTGAAAGTTAATTCCCCATATGGGATTAATTGTATAGAAACACCAATCAGCACATCTTCCCTGCCCTGTGTGTTTGTTGCAAAGGATCCATACTGTAAATATAATTTTTGTTTGAAAATAACAGAGCAACATTTACATTTTCAGCGGTCCAACACATGCTTTATTTTGCGCTGTAAACTAACCTTTTTATTGCAACAGATTCCTTTTAAATGATCCAGTGTAATAACTACTGCTTGTGTCTTCTATGTCTCACATTATGTGATATTTTAAATTGTGGTATATAGCCTGAATCAGACATCATGGACAAAAGGTTTTTACCTGTGTTACTAAGGGCTCTTGGAGACTGACCGGTCTAAAGGTTTGCCATGCCTTTAAAACATGGTACAGTATAAATTTTTAAGTCTCTGAGAGTTCTGAAAGATTCAGGTGAAACCATGTCTGTTTAATCTGGTCCAGATGTTTGTTCAATTTCTATAAGATTTAAGTTGATGCAGCATCAACTCAGATTAGTTAATGGAAGTTTCATACAAATAGTTGAGTTATGAGTGCGCTATATAAATGGATCCTTTCTTTATATATAATACTATAGTAGATTAAAGTAATGAAGTTAATTAAGAAAATGTACACATAAGAATCCCTAAAATAAATCTAAACTAAAATTGGTATACTTTCCAATAATATGTTCTGAATACAGCTGTTAACTCTTTATTTTGTGTAAATGGTGATTGTGATAATGTGTGATAAGTGTGCAGTTTAACTTGAAAGTGGTTTAATTTATGTTGCTGTATTGTTTTAAATTATATGTGAATCAGTTTGTCACAGTCTAGTGATACTGATAAGAATGACAGCCAAATAACCTAGCAAATAACTGTTTTATTAGTTGTTGAATACTAGCGTTTTGGCCAAGAATAGTTGGAGATTTGGAGGTGTTAGTTTAAGATTGCTTTTATATTGTGTCTATCTGTGTTTCCTAGGAGGGAGACAGAGTGTGTAGTTGTGTGCCCATAAATGTGATTTCTGTATTGGCATATCTGCTGGGTACCCATTATGTGTTTCTACAAAGATATTGCTTTGTGAGATGACGTGTAATATTACATTGGATGCTGAGTATGAGTTATATGGTTTGAAATGAATTGGTGATTATGAGTTTAGTACTTCAGTAAGATGTGCTAAAATTTGGAACAAGGTGGAAGCTGAAATGTTGGGATTATGGAAGAATAGGTAGTCTATATTCACTGCTTTGGCATATAAGCAAGATGCAAAGGAAGAGATTGGTAATATGATTTTTGTAAATAAATTTTACAAGTGTTGGAAGGATGAGGCAGGTTTGATGTCTGGAGATGATATAGATATCTTTAAAATACAGTCATGCCTTGGTAATATGTTGCCACAGTATTCTTTGCTTGTGAAACAATTGATTTCAGACTGGGCCAATTTGGATAGCTCAGATTTTCTTACCAAGGTTATAGAAAAGGAAAATGCAGGTTGTTTTGAATTAAGAAAAGATTTAGGAAAGTAAGGTTGCTTATTATGCTCAGGGATTGCAACATATTATGTCCAGCTACACAGGATGAGAGCAAGGATGGGATGGAGCACATAAAGCCCGTGGAAGGGGTGGTCAAAGAGGGGCAAGGGGATGGAGACAGGAAAATCAGGGTTATAGGGGCAGGGGTAACCAAGGAGGAATAGACAGGAACACTTGTTTCAACTGTGGCCAATATGGCCACTGGAGGAATGAGTGTCCACACCCCAGGAAACCCCACACACCCCAACAACCCCACCTTTCTCAAAATATGCCCTGTAGGCAAGAACAACACCAGACCCACTCCCAACACCACTGGCCAGCATATCGCTTAGTTCAGGACTTTAGAGCCCTGAATAGTTTAATTGTGCCCATTTCACCCATTGTCCCTGATGTGACATCCCTCATTACAGCCATTCCACATGATGCCACTTACTTCACTGTCATTGATTTAAGTAATGCATTTTTTTCTATACCTATTGATCAAGAGACACAGCTACTTATGGTTTTTACTTTTTGAAGGCTGTCAGTTTACCTGGACACGCTTACCCAAGGCTATGTGGATTCCCCAGCTGTTTATTCGTTGGTACTCCAACATACTCTAAAAAACATGGACCACCGGTCATGGTTCCGTCCTTTTTGCAAAATGTTGATGATTTGTTGTTATGTAGCCCTAGCTATGAGGCAAGCACTGTGGATACTGTCAGCAACTGTAGGTCACAAGGTTGTTAAACACAAAATGCAATTGTGTAAATCAAAGGTTGAATACTTAGGTTTTGTTCTGGCTTTAGGCACCAGACAATTGAGTCCAAAATGTATTGAGGTCATTCAGAGGATTCCTACACCCACTATTCGGAAGGAGTTGCTCACCTTCCTCGGCATGATTAATTACTGCCACCAATGGATCCCTGAATTCTCCCATTATAACTCAATCCTAAGGGAGGCTGTACGTTCTGACAGCCCTGAAAATGTCTGCTGGTCACCAGACATTCTAGCTGCATATATTGCCCTTACAGTTGTTATTGTGCAAGCCCAGGCTTTAGGACTACCTGTGTATTGTAAACCATTTCATTTGTATGCTTGGGACAATTGTAAAACCATGGCCGTGGTCTGTGCACAAGAGCAAGGAGGCGGTATGCGTCCCATAGCATTCGTTTCCAAAGTAGTTCGAGCTCCGGTACAGGGTATGCCGGCGTGTCTCAGAGCATTGATAGCATGTGCAATGGCTGTTGAAACTGCTACTACTATCACACTAGGGCATCCTACAATACTTCATGCCAGTCACCAGGTCACTCAGCTGACAAATCTCACCACACAACACATGACAGCCCAGCGCTTCAGTGGTTATGAGATTCTTTTTTTTTTTTAATACCCAGAATCTGTCTTTTGGATTAAATAAGGTTTAGAGAAAGATCAAAATGATCTGTTCTCTAAAGAGGGGAGAATAGGCATACTTGAAGAATAGGCATACTTGAAGCAAGCTGCTTTATTTTCATCAGTCAGGCACATAGCAAGCACCATTCAATTCCTCATGAATTCATTTTATATTAGGAATCTCAGGCAGCATGTACAGTCTTTTGTAAGATCGTGTGAACGCTGCTCTTTTTACACACTTACAGATTGATTTTATTTATGTATCCAAAATTGGTAAGAAACAGCAATACTTACTGGTCATAGTTAATCAGTTTAGTAGATGGCATGAGGCCTTTGTGACATCTAGGGAAGATGCTAGTGAAGATTATTGTTACTGAAATTATTCCCCGGTATTGCTGCCCTCTGCAGATTGGCTCTGATAATGGCCCGGTTTTTGCAAGTAGGGTTGCCCAGGAACTTGCTAAATTCTTGCAAGTTACCTGGCAGTTTCATATACCCTATCATCCACAGAATACAGGGGTAGTTGAAAGGATGAATAGGACTATTAAGGAAAAGCCCAGAATTTACCCAGGAACATGGGTAAATTGGACTAGATATCTACCAGCTATTTTAGCTGAGATAAGAATGAATCCCCACAAGGTGACTAAATTATCTCCATTTGAGATTTTGATGGGATGACCTTTTCCCACACCCTGGGCCAGGGAATCGCTTGTTATAATGTCTGGGGATTTACAGCTTATACAAGAACAATATGTACAGGAATTGTTGATAAAACCGAATGGTATGTATGACAATGTTTCTTCGCAGTTTTCCCTTACCTTCACAGGAACCTACTCATTTATACCAGTCCGGTGACAAGGTGTATATCCGTCAGCTGAACAGGACCAAGAAAGGAGGATACCCTTTTGGACCACCTGCTACTGTGATTGCTGTAACCAGAACCGCTGTCCTCACAGATTCCCACGACATCTGGATTCACGCATCCCGAGTGAAGCTGTGTCCAAAGAGGGGAACCAAGGAAGACAAGACCACTCCTCGCTCGGAAACAGAAGAATTTCTCCTCAGCGAAGCATCATGGCTTTTACACCATATCGTAGATTGAGAGGATCATACGTACCTGAGACCAAGATTATGTTGTGCGCTATGCTTTCTGGAGTTGTTATACTCCCTCTGATATTGTTCCTTGAATGCCATTATGAGTACAAGTCAATGGCAAGTTCTGGAAAAAGACTCTGACATGATGAACAATTCTTCAATACCCCCAGCCCAATTAGGCCTTAGCCCCTCATCTAGCATTCGTCACACACGCTCCCTCAAGAACCTTTCTCCACCACCTATCTATCAGCATGTAATATGCAAGCACTCATTGACTGAACACATATGGATGAACTGGATAAATAATAACCCTTATAAGTACCAGTTACCCATATGGAATGTGTCCACAGCTAATGAAACCAATGCATTATGTTTGTTTGAAGGTTCACGGAAAATTGTTAGATCTTATATCACAGGAACTTGCACAATTAAGGTTGCATATCAATGTAAACAGACAGGCCTTATTACTTTTAATAATGATTATACAACTGGTATCATTAATTGGAAAAGGGGACAAATGTCATTATGAACGACACTGCAATTGAGAACTGTACACTACCTTATATTTTACACCTTATTACGGTCCTTTATCCTCTACCATTGAACCAAAAGTCAACAATGACACACACCTATTACGTCCACATGTGTTCATACAACTGCCTTCTTACAAGATGTACATGTGTCATTAAAAATCACTACTCCTGTTCGAACATTATGTAACACAGCAAACAAAAGGCAGAAAAGGGAATGGTATGACACACTGTTAGGAGGTGCAGGAACCACTATGGGTATACTAAATAGTATAGACATGGAGACCCTCAAGAATAAGTTAAACACGGCCAGCATGAAGCAGCCGACATATCTGTTTGGCAACTAACCTCCCTACAAAGATAATTACTAGTAATACAAGTATCAATCTACCTCTCCCCTTTTCAGGATGTTTGACTAATGGTTAGATCTTAATGGCACCCAATATTATTTCAGCGACACAATCACTTTAGACAAACATTAATGCCCTATTAAGGCTCTCTACTTTTTAAAGATTACCATTTACCTCTTGAGACTATTGTCTCCTTAATGAAAGGAAAACAAAATATGTTTAAACATCTTGTTACACATAATGATGCTATAGTACACACACAGGTAGCCACACATATCCTAAAAGGAGAACTCCTTAAGGTGAGTTCACAAATTCAGAATGATTTAGCCCATCATTGGTACAATGCTTTTACTGGTTGGTCCCCTACTGGATCCCAGATAATGAAATCATTCTTCTATCCTTTTGTTATTATAGTCCTGATTTTATTGTGTATGATTTTATATAACTGTCACCTTACTTGTACATTGAGGAAGAGAGTACAGAAATGAATCCATAATGCAGAACAGAAACAATTAGAAATTCTCCTCTCTGCCACTGGAGGGTATCAACCCATCTTTAAACTGGGCCTTAGGAATTACCACATGGGAATCGAGGTGAAGAAATTAATGAAAGTCCCGCAGGGAGTGACTAGCACCCCTGAAAATACCATGTGGAAGATTCTCTGTCCTGGTAAGATTTTATCGATAAGATGAGCAATTGTTTTATTGCTCAAAGAGGGGAATGTAAGAATATTAAATAGTTAACTTGTTTATATGTATTTTATGCTTTTATAAGGTTTATAACATGATTATTGCTGACTGAAGGGATATTGAATACTTACATAAATATGCTGACTGTGACAGACTAAGGTATTTCTTCTATAGGATGTAAGACAATGCTAAATTTCAGGATGTCTTGCCCATTCCGATTTTAAGGATATTCTTTTCCAGACATATGCAAAAGCTTATCTTTCCATTGTCAGAATAACGTAATATAAGGAAGTAATAAATCTTATAGTCTGTACTGTATTTGCATATACCATGGCTAATGTAAGCAAACTATGTATAAAAGCCAGCTCTGGAATACACTCATTTGAGAGTCTTGTAAAGCTGTTGTCCGTGTGTTATTGCTTACAAATGATTCTCCATCAACGTTGATTATGGTGACCGAGGGATCGAGAACCGAGGGGATTAGAGTCCATTACAACATTAACCCTTTCAGTTCCCACTTTAGTGAATAACCCTGAGTAAATGGGTAAACTGAAAAATAAACAAACACTTGCATTGCACAATATAGCTGTTTTCCAACCTGATTTTGCAGGTCTAAATTTTAAGGTAGGTTTATAGGTTTTCAATTTTCCACAATTTTCCAGTTCCTAAATCAACAAATACAGCGAAATTAAAGCTGTGATTTAAGCATCTTTAAAAAATGTCAGTGGCTCGTGGTTTGGGAATTGAGTGGAAATTCTAGTTGCTAAGCAATGACTGCTATTCCCTCTGTGGGTAATTGGACAAGCACAGACCTTGACTATGAAATCTTCACCCAAGAAGTCAAAACATAAGGAATCCTCTGTGGCTACCATGCTCACTGCGGCCATCATGCCTTAAGGCCTCTCAGGATGGCTCCTCTGTAAATCCATGAGGGCTTACTGATTAACACGATGAAGCTGCCTCCAACATATCTTTTACTTGTTCAGATGATACCTTTCACATCTTACAACAATTGAGGGAAAATCACTTATATCTAACCCAGTTGATTAAACAGAGCATTAAGGAAGTAAAAGCAGAGATCCACAAGTTGGGAATCTGCAATCTGCATGTCTGGAAAAGACTGAAGCACTTCTCGAGAACCTATCCAATCGGTCCCACCGTGATAATATATACATTAGTGGGTTGCCAGAAGACGCAACGGAGGGCCCCTTAGCTCCAATTGTGCAGGAGATTTTCCACCCTCTGATTTTCAACATCCTATGTAGGAGTAAAATGTAGGTGTACTCAAGCATCTTATCAAGGCAGGCCTCTGTCTATATTTCAAGATACAGATACAAAGATATGGAATCTATATGGTTGCTATGCTCTCATATTCAGTTTGCAAGGAGCTACCATTTTAAGCACTTCCAGAACAGCAAGACCATAGTTTTTCTACCATGTTGACAAAAATGAATCCGCTTGCTCACAGAATCTCCATTCCTGAGAACTCTGTATCCCATCTGCCAGCTCTAGAACATCTCCTGTAGGATTGGTTATCGGTGCAGGAGTTCTCCCACCCAGAAAGGCCCAGGAAGTGAACCTGATATAATTAGTTGAGCCCTCAGGTCAATATAAAGAACCTTTATGGTATTGATGATCCCTTGGTTGATATCATCAGAAGTGATTATCTCAGCCAATCACAATGATTTTCCATAGGAAAGCGTTGGATTGGCTGAGATCGTCAATTATGATCATCTCAGCCAAGAAGGTGGGCCAGGGGTGGAGCTCAAGGCCATCTTGGCCAATCAGTATCTTGTCACAGAGATGCGTTGAATCAATGCATCTCAATGAGGAAAGTGCAACGTCTTCATGCAGAACATGGAGACCCTGATCGTCAGTGCTGCACACTGTGCAGCACTGACCCAGGAAGCACCTGTAGTGGCCGTCTGAGGAGTGGCCACTAGAGGTGTTCCTAGGCTGCAATGTAAACACTGCCTTTTCTCTGACTACAATAAGCTGTAGTTGTTCTGATGACTACAGTGCCCTTTTATGTATTGGGATGCATGGTGTGTTTTTAAGAAGTGTTAAACCTTGGATTAAGGTAAAGGTTGTTTTCCAGCCACAGGTTTAGGCTTTGGGTGCTGTAGTCCAGTCGCCTTCCTAGGATTGATATTAGAGCTGCAGGAGCTGTTATACAGTGTGCAATACTCAGCACTGTTATTGCTCCTCCTGCAAGTGATTTCCTGTGTGAGAGGCTATTAGTGGGCAGATGGGAAGTAAACCTTATCATTTCCTGTTCTGCCTCACACACAGACACTTGGAGTTTCACACCCTCTACAGCTGTTAATGCAGCCCTGCTATTAATGCATGGAAGGCTCCTGGTACATATCTCTACAAGCCCACTTAAGGCTGCTACTTCCAAAAGGCACATTAAAAGTGCTGAAAACAGCCCCCCTCCCTACAGGACAGGTGCCTGTATGCAATTGCTTTCTCTGCCTAATATGAAATCTGGCCTTATTTGCATACCTG